CCCCAAAACCCCAAAACCCCAAAACCCCGTACATAAGAGTTGAAGTGATTTCGAAATTAATTAGTTTATCTATATCAACACATTCTTCATAAGTAAATACTCATCAACTTCCTCACTGAATAAACCTACACAAGAATTTTCTGTGGAAGTCACTACGAACTGTATCATTAACGAATCTCTTCTTTTCCTTAGGCTCAGTTCTAGCCTGATTCTTGAATATTGTCTCTTCATACCACTTCTTCTTAAGTGAGTAAGCCTCAGTGATCTCGTTCTATTCATCTTGGTTAAGCAGTGGATTTCCTCTTAGAATTTCTTCCATTTGCTTCTTCTTAAGCTCTTCCATCTTCATTAACTCGCGCTTTCTTTATTCCTCCTCTCGTTCCTTCTTTATCTTGGCATATTCTCTCATTAACTCTAACTAATCGTCATCATCATCATCTTCGTCATCTGAATCACTATCATCTGACGATTCATCTTACTTTGGCTTTTTTACTTCTTCTTCATCATCATTTTCAGACTCCTTATCAGAATCACTATCATCAAAGTTCTCATCAGCATCTTAAGGGAAGGGTGTCTTAAGTACTGGCTTTGATTATGATTCATTGACTTTAAGTCTTTTAATAGGGAATGGCTCTTTAAAGTCCTAATCATTTCCTGACTAAATCATTTGAGCTGCAGATCTGACCATTCCATGTTTATTTATTGAAGCCAGTTGCTCTTTCAGTAATAGTTCTTATTTAAAATCTATGGTTTTCTATTCATCTGTTGAACCTTGCCCATCATGTCTGGTCTTTAGCTTCAAATGAGCAGGCATGTCCTTGGATGAATACTGCCTAGATGGTTTTACGAGGACATTTCCACCTTGTTCTGAGCCTCCTTTAATCCTATTCCAAGTGGGTCGATGAGCTGTAGTCATTTTTAAAAATTATTATAAAAAGTATAATTAAAAGAAATTAAATGTCAGAATAATTAAGATAATCTTTGATAAAAATTAATCTCTTTATTTAAAAGTCAATGGTGATTAAAAATTTTTAATATTATTAGAATTAATATGTAGAGATTATTCTTACAGAAAGTAAGTTCCACGACTGCCTAGCAAAGGCTGAAGTCCCTCACTGTACTAGATAAAATAGTGCCTACTGCCAGTAGATAAATTAACACCAATACTTAACCTTCGCAGTCACCCCGTAAATCAGATGTTATTGCAGTTCCAATAGACAGTTCTATTGAAAGTTCTATGAATCTATCCTCTTAACCATCTTCTCTTGAAAACAGAGTGAATAGGATGTTGCGATATTTACCAAGCATTAGAGGTGAAAATAGTTTTATCAAGCAATAGATGGATTATTTCACATTGAAAATGCAGAAAAATGAAGGTGATAAGGAGGAGAAATAGCCTTTAACACCTCCAAAAGGATTCGAGAAGTTCTTTAAAAAGAAGGAAGACGAGAAAAAAGCCGCATAAAAGTCAGATGATCCCAAGACCGAAAATAAGGAAGCTAAAAAGCCTTAAGAAGAGCAGATTAGTGACGAGGAGGAACCAGATACCAAGGATAAAAATAAAGAGAAAAAATCAAGTGAATATGATGCAACTAGCTTTAAGAACTCACTCAACAACTTCTTCTTCCAGCCAAATGGAGGTGGACCAATTATCGAGAATTGGGTAGTAGCATTATTGCTGTCGGGAGCGTTTTATTATTACTTGACATCTAAAAGCCCATCACAAGAAATCACTTATATGGACTTTATCAACCAGTACTTAACCAAGAATCAAGTTAAAATGATCACTATAACTGAGGACAAGACTAGTGACATGTTCAAGTATAAAGCTGAAATTGAGCTTCTTGAAGGAAAGAAAGTTCACTTAGTTTTACCATAAGTTGAAAATTTCTTGTACAAATTAGATTTAGCTTAGAGAGAAATGGGTAAGATGCCAAATGACTTTGTTCCAGTCAAGTACGCCTCAGAAGCTAGTCAATCATAGAATAACACAATGCTAAACTTTTTCATCGGTGGACTGTTTATTGTATTTTTGATGCAAATTTACAGAAGTATGCATGGTAAAGGTGGACCAGGTGCTAGTGGAGGATAAAATGCATCCAAGGGAGGTAATCAACCTGGCAAAGGACCATTCGGAGGAGGTGGCTCTGGTGGAATGAATGATATTTTCGGTATGGGTAAATCGAATGTTCAAATATATGGAGTTGATAAGAAAATCAAGACTAAATTCAAGCATGTTGCAGGTATGGAGGGAGCCAAATAAGAGGTTCAAGAATTTGTTGATTTCCTTAAGGATCCAAAGAAATATCAAAAGCTTGGAGCATAAATTCCAAGAGGAGCTCTCCTTGTTGGTCCACCAGGAACTGGAAAGACACTTTTGGCTAAGGCTGTGGCTGGCGAGGCTGGTGTACCTTTCTTGTCAATCTCAGGTTCAGACTTCGTAGAGATGTTTGTAGGAGTAGGAGCTTCAAGAGTAAGAGATCTATTCAAGAAAGCAAGAGAAAAGGCTCCATCTATTATCTTCATTGATGAGATAGATGCAGTAGCTAAAAAGAGACAGGGTAAATTCGGTGGAAATGATGAAAGAGATAATACTCTCAATCAACTCTTGGTCGAAATGGATGGTTTCGGTACAGAGGAATCAGTTATAGTATTAGCAGCAACAAATAGAGCAGATATTTTGGATGCTGCTGTTTTGAGACCAGGTCGTTTCGATAGATAAATTGAAATCACTCTCCCAACTATTAAGGATCGAACTGAAATATTCAAAGTGCATCTTAAAAAGATCAAGTTGAATGCTGAAAAGTCAAGAGAGGAGTATGCAAAGAAGATGGCATCATTAACACCAGGATTCTCTGGAGCTGAAATCTCAAATGTCGTTAACGAGGGAGCAATCATTGCAGCAAGAAAAGATGCTGAATCTGTTGGTATATAAGAGTTTGAATCAGCTATTGAGAGAGTTATTGGAGGACTTGAGAGAAAGACCATTATAACCAAGGATGAAAAGAAGATTATTGCCTATCATGAAGCAGGCCACGCAGTTGCTGGATGGTTCCTTGAGCATTCTAACCCACTGTTGAAAGTAACAATCATTCCCAGATCTAAGGGAGCTCTAGGTTTCGCATAATATCTCCCAGAAGAGATCTCTTTATACTCAAAGGAAGCCTTATAGGATATGATTTGCACCGCTCTCGGAGGTAGAATCGCAGAGGATCTCTTCTTTGGAAAGATCACAACAGGCGCCTCAGATGATATTAAAAAGGTCACTCAAATTGCTCAAGGATTGGTTACTGTTTATGGTATGACTGACAGAATCGGCCTTGTGGGGTACAGCTCGGAGGAATAGTCGATAAAGCCATATAGTGATTCGACTAATGAGATTATTGATGAGGAGGTCAGACGTATTGTCATGGAGTGCTATAACTCAACCAAAGAACTTCTTGAATCTAAAAAAGATCTTATTCATGACTTAGCAGAGGAGTTATTAGCTAAGGAAACTATAACACTACCAGATATTCTAAGAATTCTTGGTGACAGACCCTACCCCTTAAAGGAGACTGTAAGAGAGTACCTTGAAGAGCTCAAAGAAAGAAAGGTTAAGGATGACGAGAAAATTTAAGAAGCTGCTAATACTTTAGCAGAGAATCTTGAAAAAAAAGCTGAGAGTGAAAGTGAGCAAGCAGCAACAGAGAAGAAGGAAGACAGCAGTGACAGCTAGAGTGCTGCACCAATCGAAGATAAATAAAAAGATCATAATGAAACTCTCAAGTGAAGAGTGGTGTGATCATCTATTTAAATATTTTGTAATAATCTTTAAATATTCCTTAGTATAAATAATGCTTTGTGTAAATAATATTGATATAATATCATATACTGTCTAATATATTTCTTTCATTGCACAAACTTATGTTAGCACTTCTGTAGAAAAGCTCAAAATATTTAGTCTTTCCTAAATTTATCACTCCTGCTTCAATCTGATTCAATATCTGTTTGCAAAATGGGTGGAGTTGAAATTAAGGATAAAATAGATCATCTACTGGAAGTTCTTTTTATTGTCTCCCTGCATCCTCTAAAGCTAATTTATGTTTTCATATATTTCCTAAAGCTTCTCGACTATTTCCTAACTACCTAAAATGAACTTCACATCACTTGGCTTCAATTTGTTATACAAATCACTTAACTCCTCTATCTCTATGTCCTCTTCACATTCATCAACCTGCCTATCAAAATCTGATTTTTCCTAATTTATAGCTTCTTTGGTTGCATTATCTGCTGCTTAACCATTCGTGTTGCTTTCTTCCTAGTTTGAAATAATTGAGTAATGTATCAAAGCACCTATGAAGCTATAAGGAGCCATTTCCTCACTATATATCAACTTGAGCTTTTGCTACTCTGAAACAAAGCCACTTCTTACTATATGATCCTCAATGAAATCCATGGCCATTCCAAAGGTAAGATTTTAAAGTGCCAGTGAGAATGGTTTAGCTGAAAGTAAAATGTCAAACACTCTACTGTCTTTCATATCATTAGCAAGGATTAACATAAACTCCAAATTCTTAATACCCCAATTGGTTTAGCCGAACTTATCGAAATTCCACAGGTAACTTAAAATTTCATAGTAATTCTTGTCAAGTGCCCAAAATAAAATTAAGCTTCTGACCCTGTAGTTTTGATTCTCTAGCTTTCCTGAATCGTGTCTATCTGATAGGATAGGTTGATCTACTGATAAGTTGGATGCTCTGATATTGATTCTAGATGACTCATACTCATGCATTGACAACTCTGATTAATTAGCTAGGCCAGAACTAGATGGGATTTTACCAGCATAGGCTAAGTCTAAGGAAGGGATATTCTCACATAAAACTTTAATGGTGTCTAAAAACCCATAATAAGCTGCCAGATGAAGGATATTAAGATGCTCACTTTATATTTTCTTGTTGCCAACTTAGACTGATTCCATCTGGCCAGTCACACTCATCACATCTATCTTGTAGTTAGTTATAATTTCTAAAACCTGTTAGCTTTTATTTTCTAGCACAGCAGCGACCAATCTCTATCTCTCAAATTCAAGGAGTATAGGCTTTTTCTCGTATTCATTAATTAATTTCTCAATATCAACGACTTCTTTCTCGTTTATCACTAAATTTACAGTTTATGACAAATAATCAAGAATCGATCGACTTACAATGACTAGAGTGGAAACACTTAGGAGGTATCAACTTGATCTCTTCAATTGCTTCATTTTATACTTTATCATCATTTATATCTATTTCATTTGGCTCATCATCAACTAATTCATGGTGTTGATAAACTTATAGATCATTATTTTTCTTTTTCATGGTCTATTATTCTTCCTGCTATAACGACTGCTTGCTGTTAAAATTCTCTTCTTTGATTTCTTGTTAGGACCTTTTCTCTACTAGATCTGCTGGAGGCTTTTCAGGCTTGTATTACTGATTTATTTTCTACTCTCTGAGTTTGCTTTTGTTGTTATTCTGAGAGACACACTAACCCATTTTAATTAATGATTGCTATATTTTAATACTTAATTTTGCTTTAAAATCACATAATAATTTTAGTAGGGGTTTTGGGGTTTTGGGGTTTTGGGG